CTCTACTTCTTTTGTATGTTTGTCACTCTCTTGTGACCTGCTATTTCCGGGGTGCCTTGATAGTTGAAGCAGACCTTGTGCTGTTGAAGCTAGAGAGGTGGGCAGAGTGGGTCTGATTCCCTGTAAAGACTTCTCTGTTGACACCCACCCCTTGGCGCTCATATGACCTTATGCAGTTGCGAGTGCCGTAAAACCCTCTACTATAATTTTTTTTTAAAATACTTCTTGGGTGCAGTTGAAATTCATGTTTTATCTTTGTCGGGTCAGAGCTTCTGAAAAAACGGGGAAAAATTAAATGACGACCTTTCTAAAAATGTTGCTATTCTTCAATCGTATTGAAAAAATTTGACAACATAAAAAAGTCCTGACAATAATGGCGTATCTGTGAAAGTCTGACATAGTGGCGTGTGAACTCTACTGTCCCTGTCGTTTTATGCACCCCGCATAATTTAGCAAAATTTGATTTTTTTGTGTGCATAATTTCTGATTATTTTCCTTTATCATTCTTTGTTAAAATTAACGGAATCGCATAATTTCATATTTTTGGTCTCAGTTAACATAAATTCTAAATTTTTCTTGCATAAAATGACAGGGACAGACTCCACATTGTGTTTTGATTGTTTACAGGATGACTCGGGCCAGAAGGTGTGGATCTGTCCGGCGTGCAAGCTACAGGATGACGGGAGTGAGATGATTGGCTGTGACACATGTGATAACTGGTACCACTGGTGAGTTGTGCTTCAGTCCGCGCGGATTGCCAGACTCTTTTTTTTAAAAACGGTGTTAACGAAGCTGGTGTGGTTTGCTCCTTCTTTCCTATCAAACATCTATCATCCTGATCTCTCCTCCTTTTCAAATATTTTTTTTAAAAATGTTTGTTTCTCTTGTAACACCTCTAATCTTCGGCACTTGTATGAGCTTATTGTGTTGCAAGTGCCGTAATACTCTTACTAAAACTAAGCTTTCTTTCAGGCCCTGTGGATGTGTGTGTGTGTGTGTGAAGTAAAGTCTTGTGTGTGTGTGTGTGTGTAAAGTAAAGTGCTGCGTGTGTTCTTTCCTTCCAGCCCCTGTGTGTGTGTAAAGTAAAGTCTTGTGTGTTTTTTCTTCCAGCCCCTGTGTGTGTGTGTAAAGTAAAGTCTTGTGTGTTCTTTCTTGCATGCTCTGTGTGTGTGTGTAAAGTAAAGTGCTGTGTCTGTTCTTTCCTTCCAGCCCCTGTGTGTGTAAAGTCTTGTGTGTTCTTTCCTTCCAGGCCATGTGTGTGTAAAGTAAAGTTTTATGTGTTCCTTACTTCCAGCCCATGTGTGTGTGTGTGTGTAAAGTAAAGTCTTGTGTGTTCTTTCTTGCATGCCCTGTGTATGTGTGTGTAAAGTAAAGTGCTGTGTGTGTTCTTTCCTTCCAGCCCCTGTGTGTGTAAAGTAAAGTCTTGTGTGTTTTTTCTTGCATGCCCTGTGTATGTGTGTGTAAAGTAAAGTGCTGTGTGTGTTCTTTCCTTCCAGCCCCTGTGTGTGTAAAGTAAAGTCTTGTGTGTTTTTTCTTGCATGCCCTGTGTATGTGTGTGTAAAGTAAAGTGCTGTGTG